GGCGACCCTGGTCTTGGTGGTGTTCTGAAAGGGAGGCCAAAAGGAGAAAACCTTGATTGAGTGGGCCTCACAAGAGGAGCCACACCCAATTGGACGTTTGGAGTTGGGACTCTACAAATATCCACCAAAGAATCCACACCAACCCAGGTAGTTCTTCCTCGGCTTCCCCATATTTTGTCCGGTCGGTTCCAAGCCCCCCAACCCTCACTTGCTGAGCGGATGGCCCAAAAAAGGCCCAAACTGCATATCTACCCACTAAAATGGTCCAACCCCAACTATACAAAGTTAGACTTCCCCAAAAAAGAAGTCCAAACTAAAATGGCCCAACCCCAAAAAGTGTTTCAAGTTCATGAACTCCGGAAGTGAGAACCAAACCTCCGGCCGATCCCGACCGCCTCTGACCCCGGGCTCCCGGGCTCAAAGGCCACCACGGGCCGCAGGATCCGGAGGTCCACCCGGCGCCCCGTGGCGAAGAGCAGACGCAGCACCGAGTCCTCCAAAGGCATCAGCTCCTGCGGTTTTGGGTTCGAGAGATGCCCAGGGGGGATGCCCAAAGGTGGGTGGAGGAGGATTTTGAGGGAGGTGGGGCTGGTGGAGTGGTTGGTTTCTTGAGAGGATGTCAAAAGGGTGATGCCAAAACTTGGTTTCTTTCTGCTCCCCTGCTAAAGGTGACTGGCTTTTAGCGGTTGAATGGAAAACCCACTAGTTGTCAAAAAGTGAAAGTCCTGACATCCAAGCAAAATGCACCAAAGAAAAGGGGTGGGGGGTGGAAGGAGGTGGGAGGTGGGGCTGGTGGAGTTGTTGGTTTTATTGAGGTGGCGCTGGTTGAACAAAACGCAACGCGTTTTGTTATCCTTTGTTTCCGGTTCACATGGTGATGGTTTCCCTTAGACCAATTGCCTATCCGCTTTCCCGCAACTTGGGTCTCGCCAAAGCTCCACTTCCCTGTCCTGCAGCTCCGCGTCCGGGCGCCCAAAGACCACCACCTGAAGCGGAGAGCTGAAAGTGGAGCCGTCCAAGGCCTCCCCCCTGAACCATCCGAAAAGGTTGGAACATCCAGTTGGCTGGGGGTGAACCGCCTTGTCTTTTCTTCGGGCTGGGGCCCCCTTCTTTGGGACTTGGTTTTACCGACACCAAAAGTAAAAACTTCTCCATTTCTTCGGGGGGACCCCTTGTGTTAACCTTGAAGCGCCACAGGAAAACAGAAACCACCCACGTCTTTTTGGGGGGGCTGCCCAGAAGAGTCACAATCAAAACCCGGCATCAACATGGTCGAAATCCCAGAACCATGTGAAGAATTTTCGGAAGGCGGCAGCTATTTATGGCCGGGGGATTCTCCCTTTCTAAGCTAACCATCTACTTAATTTGACCCATACCGGCGGTTTGATTCGGCTTACTTAGGGTTTTGTAGAGTTCCGTCCTAAAAACAAACACTCGTGGCCCAACACGCCACCGGGCCGCAGTGCCGCAGGGCCCCCCCGGTTTTGGGCACGTAGCCCCTATCTTCGAGACCCACACCCGGCGCTTTGTCTTGCTCGGGCGGGGGGCGCGGGAAAAATATCGAAAAAGTCGCCTCCATGAGGTCCCCGGTGCCCGGCAGCACCGCCGCGATGCCCGGCAGGAAGCCTCAGGCGGTGAAAAGAGGCGGTGGCTTTCCGAAGCCTTGGCGCTTTTGGGGATTGAGTTTGCTTGACTTGGGTGGACATATTTGCAGACTTGAAGGTTTGAAGGTTTGCTTGTCTGGTTTGAAGTTTGAAGGTTTCAAGGTTGGTTTGTCTGCTTTGCAGATTCGAAGATTCTAAGATTTGGTTGTGGACATTGGTTGGAACCGGATGTTGAACACAATTCCAAGTCGCAGCCACGCTACTGTTTTGCTCGCTTCTTATAACCACAAATCGGGGAAATCCCACCGGCCTACCCCTCCACCCAAGTCCGCTAAGGTCTCATTTGGCTTTGTTTCGCCCCAAGCACATCCTACAACAAGTAAACCGTACTAGACAAGGGTCCCCGGCAACCCTTGGAATCAAATAACTAGGCCTTGGAAATCCGAGAAGCGAAATCCTTTTTGGAAGCTACTTCTTGGGAGGTAGCCTCAACCAACCCTTGACACGGCCGTGCGAAATGGAAGACGAACCATCCTTTTGCGGGACCCCTCTTTTGGTTCCACGCCAATTTGTGGGGGAGCACCCTTGGGCAAGGTCTTGCAGGATGCACAAAAGTAGCCACCTGGTAACGTGTAGATGATGTTCTCCGAACGTTTTGTTGCAGGTCAGAGTGCCAAGGACAATGAGATGAGACCAAGGCAGCTGGAAAGGACAAACAACACCACGCCTACCACACAAAAGCAAAAGAACCAGTAGCGGCAACCAACCAACATCTGGGAACCAACGCGGTGAACAACTGGGACAACGCTCGAAAACAAAACAGTTTTACCAAACAACAAGAGTGGGAGAGCCACGACCCAAGCCAACTAATTTTGGGCTACCCCAAGCTACGTCAGCCTGGGTTAAGTCTGCCTTGATCAACCGGCAGTCCCCATCCAAACCAAGAAATCGCAAACTTGATAAACTTCCAGACCTGACCAGGGTTGGGCGCTTCCATCCCTTGCTTGTTGCATGGATTCAACAACCTACTTGGGCATGGGTCAAAGTTACACCATCAGAAACCACAGGTTTGAGTCCTTGGCTCAATTACCGGGGCAACCCATTTTGGGGTGACCCTACTTTTGACCCACAGCCATTTGAACTTGCTCCGAATCACTCTGGAGCCCATGGGGCGACCGAATTGTGAAAGGAGGAACGCTTAGGCCAACAAAAACCGCAATGCCGGATAGCCCCATGCAGCGCAGGGCTTGAAACACTCGTTTTGACCCACAGCCACTTCAGCCGCCCGGCTCCCCGACGGCTCCCCGACGGCTCCCCGACGGCTTCGGATCCGCGGCGCTGAGGCGGCCCTCGGCGCGCAGCGCCACGGGGGCGCAGCCCTCGAAGCGAGAGGCCAGCTGCAGCCGCAGCGAGGCGGCCCCCGCCTGGGAGAGACCGAGCTGAGTAGTGTCCAGGGCGTTGCGGTGGTTGCTGCTGTAGTAGTAGTAGTAGTAGTAGTAGTAGTAGTAGTAGTAGTAGTAGTAGTAGTAGTAGTAGTAGTAGTAGTAGTAGTAGTAGTAGTAGTAGTAGTAGTTCCAGTCTAGTTGTTGTAGTTGTTGCAGGAGCAGTTTAGTTGTTGTAGTTGTTGCAGGAGCAGGACGGCGATAGCAGTAGTTGCAACTAGGTAGTAGCAACAACGGCAAGGGTAGCAGCATAAGTCTCAGTAGCGATTGTTGTTGCAATATGTAGTAGTGACACTAGCTTGGTAATCTGGTTTTTCCTCCAATCTTGCTAACCGACTAACTTAGTAATTGCTCCCTTCCTGCCGCTCCGCGCTGAACCCAATCTTGCTGACTTTCAGCCATTTCTTCCAGCTCCACGCCGGACACCAACTTACCAACCGCCCTCCAGAGTGCACAGGATAGCAACTGCTTCATCCTGAAAACAGCGCGAGCCGTGCTCCAAAAGCAAAAGGCTTTGCCTCGCAGCCTCATGGCTTGGAGGACATGACATGGAGTCTGCAAAAGTTACCTTCCGATTTGCCAACCGGAGGAAACCCCAACAGCTCAGTCCCCTTCCTTAAGGTATTGGGAACCAACCAACCAACCAACCAACCAACCAACCAACCAACCAACCAACCAACCAACCAACCAACCAACCAACCAACCAACCAACCAACCAACCAACCAATGCACCGAAAAACCAAGCAACCAAGCAACCAAGCAAGCAAGCAAGCAAGCAAGCAAGCAAGCAAGCAAGCAAGCAAGCAAGCAAGCAGCCAGCCAGCCAGCCAGCCAAGCAACTAAGCAACCAAGCAACTTAAGGAAGAAAAAAACTGGGACAACCAAACCACCAAACATCCACCCCCAGTCCCCGGAACCAACCAACCCAGCAACCAAACAACTTTAGAAGCACGACCTGGGACGACCAAACCGCCAACCCTCCTTCAGTTGACCAACTCAGCACCCAAACAACTTCAGGAAGAACGACATGGCACGACCAAATGAAGGACGACCTCGGCGGCGGAGCAGCCTCTTTGGTGAGGCCGGTGCAGTAGCCCAGGACCTCCGCCGTCTGCGCAGGGCCGAAGGCTGCGGCGGCGCAGGCGCGCGCGGACTCCACGCTGAGGCGCAGCGGGAAGGCGTGGGAGCAGCGGCCGTAGGGGCAGGCCACCCCGCTTTGGCTGGAGCCCATCCCCAAAGCCAGGGGTTTTGGGGCCGGGGGGGTTAGTGTTCGGGGGGGTGATGGGGTGGGGGATGGGGGGGGGGGATTCGGGGGGGAAGTGTTCGGGGAGGGTGATGGGAATTCATACCACAGCCCAAGCTAAGGAAGAATCATGGGAAGTAAGGGGGGGTGTTCGGGGGGGGGGAGGACTGTTAGGATAAGGCTAGTCGGCTGGTAATTCCTGCGCCAGGGCTGTTCTGGCGTGTTGCCTTTGAACAGATTGGCCTCGAGGGAGAAGGCAAAATTTGAAAAGGAAACTTTGGAGAACAACTCTAGCGCATCCTCTATTTGGGGAAGATTGATTTGGGGGGCAGAATTGTTGGGCATGTCTTGAAACGGCGTCCAAGGCCCTTCGAGAATCAAGGAGAAGTGCATGGCAAGATGTCCGCAAAGGATCGCCCTGTGAAGCCAGCATGGCAACAAGTGAAGGGAGGCTAGAGATAGCAACGGGATGATGGGGAGGAACCCTTGGAGATTGCAGTGCACGCTTTTTTTTGTGGAGTGGATCGGCTTCCGAGCCAAAAGCTGCGGGAAAGCACGCGAGTCGCGGCGACAAGTCGGTTGCCAGTTCTTGGAAACACGGCTGTTGCTGGAACGTAAACCAAAAAAATGAAAGTCACGCCCAGGAGCGGACACTCCCCGATTTGGGCTTCAGGAGCAATCCACGGAATTCTCGTCCGACAAACCGCTGGCCTGCGGAGGGGGCGGTCTGGGCCGTCTAAAGCTCCGCATGCGCCGCAGCAGCAGCTCATCGCTGGGCCTGGACCCGGGCTGCCACGCCGGGTCGCCAGCGTGCATGGACCCCAAGGACGGGGGGCAAACCGCACTTGACATAGGTGGCCGTTTGGAAAAATCGATGGGTTTCCCTGGTAAATGGAATAAGCCCCACCAGTGCCGTCCATTTTTTAACCAAACTAACCTACAAAGGACATGGCACTTGATTTGAGGGCCTCCCTTGGTTGCCTCTGCGCTCTGGCGCCGATCGGCTGGAGCTGCACGGTGTGCACTGGGCCATAGAAGACAATCCCAAAAAAAGAGCGCCGAGAAGCTGAGCATATCCTGGGAGTCGTCTCTGCCCGTGCAATGTTCGCCGGCTGATTCGGGAAGGTTCCATTTTCTGAGCAGGTTGACATGTCCACGTCGACTGGAGCTTGAGACATGAAATCTGAGCCACATGAGTTCCCCAAAGAGTCCCGCCTACCCGTTGAACTTTGCTTACCCAAACACAAGGCCAGCAGCCCCCTCAAAAACCGTGCTCCCGGGTTCTTCGCTGAAGGCCAGTCCTTGGCATTCCAGACTTCCCTTCCGGAAATCGACCACCCCGCCGAGGGACGGCTTCCCGGCTTCCGCCTCCCTGGCCGCGAGCAGCAGGTGAAGCAGGCGGAGTCCGCCTCGGAGATCCGAATTCCGTCCAGGTCGCTGACGGCCTAGCTGGACCTTTCTTTACAGGAGACTCACTCGGGCGGCAGCCCATGGTCCCGTGGAAAGTATGGAGTTGACTGGGATAGGACAAGAGTTGGTTCTCATCGTTCTCCTCCCCCAACCCAGGTGTTCTTGGTTGAACTTGGCATACCTGAACCTCAAGTTGAACATGGATGCAAGGGCGTTTGCACACCGTTGGGAAATGGTTCAACATTGTGCCTTAGGATGGACATTTGACTGAGCCTCTCTGAGTCTGTCTGCAAAATGGTAAGACCCACTGTCCAACATTAGCTTGGCTCGCCAACCTCATCTCCCCGCACACAGAGAAGACACTAAAAAACACCAGTTGGATGGTCATCCGGCCGACCTTCGGCTTTGCCAATCCACCCCATATCCCCTTTTTTGCAGGGCGCTATGGAGGTTTCCCAGATGGGTGTGGCTCAAAATTAACCAGGAGGGGTTACGCAGGTTTTGGTCCATTTCCACTTACCAGGGCAACCCATTTTGGTACCGGTTTTTGAGCCACTGCCAGATACCCTCTTTGGCGCCGGCAGTGCAATCGCAGGTGCGGCACTCTCCTGCGGCATTCCAAGAAATTATCCGGCGCGACCTGGCCGGGGGTCTCTCGAAATTGGGGTCCCGTTTTGGATGGTTTACGGGGAAACCAAAAGGAAACTAACCTCTTGAAGGGGTCCCAATTTTGAGAAACACCCAGCAAACCTTGGCAAACTGGTCTCACGCAAAGGTGACTCACGGCCAAGAGACGCTCGCGGAATGTCCTTCCGGCGGCATTGTGTCCTCGCGGGTCAGAGAGCAGAAATCAGCCTGGAGTCTCCCAAAAACACGTTCCGCCCCCAAAAATGGCGCAACGGTGTTCCTGTTGGTTTCCCTCTAAAAACCCGCAAACAAAGCGGGTCCCCTCCCACCAATTGACCTGGAGCCTGACGTTTGGGGACTCCGACCATTTTCCTTTTACAGGGACCATCGGGACCGAGGCCACGTCGAACGGTTTGTCACCAAAGCCGGGCCTTTGAGGCGAGGCTCGAGCGACTGGACTTGGCGGACCTGGCAGACCCTTTCCGGCGCAAAAGACACCCTTCCGCGGCGGAAGCATGTCAACCCCTTCCCGGGTGTTACGGCCCATTTCCGGACAAGAGATCGGATGGGCCGTGTTTCTTGGTTGGTTTAGTGGTTGGGTGTCCATTTCACCCATAGGCAACCCTCAGACCCCAGTTCCCAGTACTGGCCCCGAGCTTTCCATGCCGATTCGCACTTGGGCGGGATGAAACCTAGAAATAATGGTTGATACACCACCGATCCCAACTGGCAAGCGGATTTGGGGATTTCATCCATCCGCAGTAGCCAGACCCTTCGCGATGTTCCTTGTGGTTTCCTGTACATGGATCCACGTCACTTCGCATGGAGGCAAGCAACGTCGGCCAGCCTTGGGCGCACTGCGTAGGGAGCCTCGGATAGAGGCTGCTGGATTGGCTGGCCACCGGATTTTCGTTCCCTGCGCCCTCGATGTGCGAAAGGTATCACGTGGTGTTGTTTCCACTTTGAGCATCACTTTTGGAGGGAACAAAAAGAGTTCAAGAATAAACTGGGGTTGATTCATACGAACGATAGAAGCTCAAACTAGGGCCCACGAAAAGGGCGGCCCTGCGAAAAAAAACCGCCGCGCCGTCCACGAGAACGCAACCCAATCCGAGGCGCGCGCCCCCGGGCCTTGCCGAGCGGGGACATCGGATTCAATTTGGGTGGGTGCCCTGGGGGCGAGCTACCCCCTACTCAAAATACCCGCTTTTTCCAGGGTATGTTTGGGAAAACCTGTTTTTTTGTTGGTAAAAACCTCCTTTTTTAGTAGAGGGTCGACAGGATACCCTGAAAAAAGTGGGGTTTTGGAGTAGGGGGTAGCTTTGAAACTCCTCCAAGAGAAATCCTGAACCAAACTTCTGAAGTCGATGGATATCATCCTCCAACCTGCGAAAAGCGAAAGGGAAAAAGTCCCGTGAAGAGGCGCGCCATCTTTCGAATCTGCGCGAGGTGCAAAGCTCCAAGCCTTGGCCCTCCACGGGTTCTGCTGCCAAACCCAGCACCCACGTCCGATGGTGCCGGCTGTGGGTCAAAAACGCGCAACGTGGGACCCTGGTAAATGAAACCAGAGACCGACCCACACCCATTTGTTATTTGTGATGTTTTGATCAAAGCAACGCAAAACCAATCAATCCAAGGCTGATTGATTGCACCCAGCCCGGACAGGGTTTGAGGCTGGCGACTGTAACCAGATGCCGGCTATCCCAAGCGATCCGCTCGGAGACCAGCCAATCGATTGCGGCCCAGATGCCAAATGGATCGTGAGACTGTGCATGGCAGGTTGGAGGCAACTGGAAGACGACAAAGTATGGTAGCCCTTGAGCAAGTGACAGACCAATCAAGTGAGCAAGCATGAAACATATCCAATCATAAGTGCTCCAACCCGTTTTTTCTGGCCACTGTACAAGACCGGCCGCAAATTTCCAGCTCTGAGCTCTGTGCACACCGACTCCCACAGCTAGGCCCAGCGGAGCTGCGAGAGAACTCTACCGGGGCTTCAGGGAAATCACCACATCTTCGGCGGGCACCAGCACGAACTGGGTCAGCTCCTTCATGGGCGCCTGGAGCGATCCAGTTTTCATCCGAAGAACCCATATGGAACACCGCCTGGAGCGATCTGGAGCCATCCAGTTGCGATCCCTTTCTTTCTTCTTCCATCCACTTTACCCCAGAAACCAACGGTGACTGAAGAAAACGATCGCGACCTGGCGATCTCGGCCATGGTTGGTGCAACAACCCAGCGCCTTGCTCCACTTCTCGAAGCCGAAGTTCTGCATCACCTGCGGCTTGCGCCCGGCAACGCTGGACACATGCCCAGTGCCTGGAAACTTTGTCCAAACGCAAACAAAACAGCCGCCCCGGCAAAAAGCTGAACGCCACCAGAAGGGGGTTCACTCTTTGTACACCTTTCTTTCTCTCCTTGCCCCCCAGTTTGCACCCTGCCCCTCCCGTTCCTCACCTTTATAGGGGGTGTCCCATCATCACTTTTGGAGGGGAACACCCCCTATTACTAAACTGGGGTTGATTCATAGGGGGGCAACATTAATATAATAAGCCTCTGGTTAATATGGGTTTGAACACCCCTCCAAAATGAACCCCCACTTAAACCAGCAGTTTTCCCTCCAAGTACACAAGGGTTGAGTAATAGGGGGTCGACGGTAAAGGCACACCCCACTAAAACCGGGGGCACCCCTTTTGAATCATCTGTTCCGCTCTCAGTATCCTCTTTTCCGCTCCTGGTCTCTAATTCTCCCTTCTTAGTTTGAACTCTTCACCCACGAAAAAATAAACAGGGCTTGAAAAAAAAAAAGAAGAAAAATACGGGGGTCCCTCCATGGCTCTTGTCCCCTCCATTGCCCACTCCTCCCACCGGCGCAGCCGCGGAGACCTCCGGCCCGCCGGCCTTGGCCAACACCAGGCGGCCCTCGTAGTCCGCCAGCTGCCGGCCCAGGCACACCCGCGAGGAGGAGCCGAAGGCCAAGGAGTCGAAGGGCGGGCACTTCACGATGCCCTCCAAAGAAAGAAGAGGAAAAACGAGGTCGAGGTCGTGTTTTTTCCAGTTTTTTTTTCTTCTTTTTTTTCTTCGGATGTTTGGATTTGGACCCGAGAAATTGCTGCTTCCTGTTTTCCAGCTTCAATTGGCGGTTTGGATGATTGTTTGGGGGGGGGGGCCAACGGGTTGCCAAATTGTTCGAATTGGCGGTTTGGAGCCCGGAGGCGAGGTGGGGGGGCCTTTACAGCGGCACTCGGGGTAGACCTGGCCTCAAAGGGCAACGACCGCCGCTGTCACTCCTCACCCCGGTCACATAATCTTTCTGCTATCGACATGGATTGCTCCGATTCAAAGATGTTTCACGTGCATTGCCAAATGGCTGTCTCTTTTTTGGGAGGCCATCATTGTTGGTTGGCTTTTACAGGAAAACCAAAGAAAGAACATCTCCCACCATTTTGGGGGTCCAACTCCTTGAAAAAGAAAGACACCTCCCACCATTCTGGCCTCCGATTCCCCCAAAAAGACCCACCTCCAAACAGCCCCCGCAATTTTTCGTACCCCCAGCGCTCCCCCTTCTCCGCCGATCCCGTCCTCTCGCGCCTCGGGGCCCAGCCAGCGCTGGGCGCGGAAGACGTCCAAGTCCTCGCCCAGCTTCGCCTTCAGCGCGGGCTCCGTGCGCAGCACGTAGCGGTAGCAGTTCTCGGCGTAAACGGGCGAATGCAGGGAATGGGACTTCAGCACGTCGGGGGTTGGAGGACTTCTCATGACACCCTAGGGCAAAGACCCGCTTCTTTCCGGGGCATGTGCTCTGAAGAAACCGATGATTTCCAACATAAACACCGATCCCTTTTGCACTCAGGGGTTGCCATACCCGACCCTACCCTGAAAAAAGCTGAAACACGCACCGTGAAACCAAGGAAGTGCCGGCTCTGGAAAGTTTACCGCGTTGTTCCCCCCTTAAGTCTGGTTCCAGCTACGCTGGCAAGGGAAGCCTAGCATGGCGGTATGCAATCAGGAAGCCATCATGTAGAACCTGGGCCCCTTTGGGAAGGCGAAACTCGTGCACTTCCATGATTGTGGGATAACTGGAAGCGCTGCTTGCATTCAACCTACTAGTGCAACCATGCGGACAAGTGGCACAGGGATTGGCTGCCTTCTTGATGGCTATTACCGACTTACTTAGCTTGATCACTCAAGCACTCATCATGCAGGTGAACCCATTTGGGTCTGCCTTTTGTTCAGGGGATCCCCAACATCGGTGGGTTTCTTTTGGTGTCCCTGTCAGACCGCAAAAAGAAGAATGTGCAGCTGTCAAGGTGAGCTCATCTAAAGTCTTTCTCGCTTGAGGGAACCCATGTTCCGGTGAAAGGAAACCCAAAAGCAACCACTCCGACCATTTTGGCCTTCTGCCACGGCTTTTCTCAGCCGAGCGAAAAACGTTCCGAACATAGGTGTCCTTTTAGGGGAAATAGATGGCCCTGGTAGATGAATTAAGCCACCAGGTAAACCAGGGAAACGCTCTATTTTTCTACCAACACATCCAAAAAGGACACCTATGACCCTTCGGCTTTGATCGCTCACAGAAACCACAGGGTCGGCCAATGCCAAGCTTGCGTGAACGCCGGGGCGCGATGACCTCGGTGCCGGCGGGCACCGTGCGCCCCGCCAGCTCCAGCGGCGCCTGGAGCTGCGTGACGTCGAAGGGCGCCGGGCCCTTGAAGCGCAGGGTCTCCAGCCACCTCGGACTGGCGGACGGAAGAGACGCGGAAGGAAGCGGAAGCGCCGGACCGGGGTGGCCGGACGAGCAAGCGCTTCGAAGCGCCGGGAGGATGCCGGGGGGATGATGGGGAGGATGGGCAGCGGCCTTAAGGAAACAGCCGGGGTGGGGGGGGGTGGCGATGTTCGTGGCTCGAAGTCCGAGGTTTTTTTTGGGGGAGGAAGGAACACAGCATGAGGGATTTGGGGGAACTGTCTGGCTCAAGACACCAGAAAATTGAGGGCCCCTCCCAAAATGAACCATAGATTGCCGGACATTTCGACCCATCTATGCAGAACACAATGCAAAAACGAATCTGACGCATCTCCCGGTGCTTTTCCTGAGACTAGCGTTGGCCGCCTAAGGATCCGTGTCTAACCTCCATCTGGCTCTTTGAAGGGGTCAGCCATCGGGGGAACCCTCCACCGACCCCAAACAAATGGCGTCCCCGTGGTGCGTTCCTTGGGGCGGAACCCCCCCCCCATGCTGGAATTGCTTCTTGGCTTCCGTGAGAAAACAAAAAAGCTGGGTCCCTCAAAACTCCGAAGAACGCCCCATGTTTCGTCTTAAACTTCTGAACTGGTGGCTTCGCGCTTGGAACCGCGCAAGAGAACCCCCTTTCCCCCCCCCAACCCCCCCCCCCAACCCCCCCCCAAACCCCCCAAAACCCCCCCCCCAAACCCCCCCCCTTTCCCCCACGCCTGGTTTGCACTTTTACTTCCTGGCAACGCCTCCGTTTGGTCCGGGGTTTAGACGGGAAACCGAAAGGAACTCATCGCCCTTCCTGGCAACGCCTCCGTTTGGTCCGGGTCTGGGGCGCTGGAAGGAGCTGCGCTGGACGAACAAAGAAGCTCTCGATGTCTCTCGATTTCTCTCGGTCACAAATCCTCCAAGCCACATCGCATTCACCATAAGCAGCCCGTCCTCAGCTCGCGTGCACACCCCTGCTGTTCCGCACCTTGTTCAGGAGCAGGCTACTTGAATGCCACGCACCATAAGCAGGAGCAACCAGAAGAAGGACTCAAGTACCGATTCGCCTCCGAACTGTCAACGTGGGTGTGGGTCAAAACCGTTTTGGTACCATTTTGGTGGGTGAATTCACCACCCATTTTAGAACCTATTTTAGGGGGGATTGGGATGTTCACTGTGGGTACAATTTGGATTTAGACCCATGGCCACGTCCCGACTTCGATCATGGCCAGTGGGCTCCCAGATTCAGAGATCCCGCCAGGCGGCCAGCTGGCTGGGACTCACCTCTGCCGGCAAGTTCTTGACCTGAGCTCACCGCAGCGAAGCGACATGTTGACAGGCGCGAGCATGTGTCACAAGTTGCTGGGGCCAAGGTGGAACCAAAGGGTCCCGTCTATCATGGAACCTGAGGGCGAACGACAGGGAATTTACATCCAAAGCCCTCAATGGGTGTCTTGATTTATAGGGGGGTGGTTTCCTCGCAAGGTGCCCGATTTCGGGGTAACTCCAAAAGACAAGCCACCCCCCAAACGGGTATGGGTCAAAGTTAGTCGCCACCTAAAAACCGCAGGCTTTAGTGAGTCCAAGTGGCCATTTTCAACCCATTCAACCCATGGGTGGTGTTTTCGCTGTTGTTTCACACCCACCACCCAAAGGGAGCTTCAGGTGTAGCCCATTTACAACCCACTGGTGGGGGTTAACCCTGTTTTTTTGACCACCCTCACCACCCAAAGGGAGCTTTCGACTCCCAGCTCATCCGGCTCCCTCGATCCTCGACGTCGGCTACTCGCCTCCTCGAAGATCGACTGCTGCAACTCCTCGTCGCAGGCGAGGAAGTAGAAGGCCCAGCTCAGCGCCAGGCTGGTGGTGTCCGTGCCAGCCATGAAGAGCACCTTCAAGTTCCCCACCAGCTCCTCTCACGATGACGGCTTCGTCACGGACGACTTCGACTGACTGCGGGCAAATCGCGAAGTTGGTGTGCTGCTGCTTTCTTCTTCTATTTTGCTCTTTATGGGGTTGGATGGGATATACAGCGATTGTGTTTGAAGGCGATTCTTCTGCTTCTTCTTCTTTTTTTCACGACCAACCACTGGATCCAGGGGCTCCTGGCTATTTCTACTTCTTGACGACCCAACCACTGGCGCCAGGGGTTGGGATATACGGCTACCGCATGAAGGCGATTTAAGCCGTCAGTAGTGGGGTTACCCCCGAACCACTAGCCCCAACATGGCGAGGGGATATACAGCGATTATATACAGGCGATTTAATCCATTTGTTGTTCTCTTTCTTTTTTTGAGGGGGGTAGTGGTTTGGGTAGTCGAAACCAGCTCAGATCTACAGGGCGCAAGAGAGGGGAGACACTTGGAGAGAGCAAAGAGGGGGAAATCCCAGAACAGAAAAAGGGCGGGTGGATCAGCCATTGGGTGAACCCCACAACCAAAGCGGGCGAAACAAGGTCATGGGATGAAGTTGTAGCCTTCTAGGGTCTAAGGACGACAAACATGAGTCTCGTTCCTCGCCCAAGACGACCCAATGCCATTGATTTCAAAGACCCAAGATTTAAGACACACACACACACACCAACCATAGGCCCCCTGCACTTTCTGCTTTCCGATTCCGACACCCTCGGTCACTTTCCAGCTCCAAACGGAGCAGCGCGTCGCTCCTCCTGCGTGAAGGTGTCACCCTCCAGCTGCCGCAGCTTTTCGACCACGGTGTTTCCTGAATCGATCGCGCGGCCCCCGCCATGACCAGCCGAGACCATGGCTAACTGTCCCCAGGTGGTTGAAATATCACATATTTGGGTGTGGCTCAAAATTAAACAGGAGGGGTTACACAGGTTTTGGTCCATGTTTCCACATCAGGGTTCCATTTTGGTGCCGTTTTTTTTGAGCCACAGCCATTTCTGTTTAGTAGGGTTTTCCAGGCAATGGTCATCCCATGTAAAGGGACCTTTGGGATCCAACCGACATATAAGCGCTTCTTCTGAGAAGGAACACAGCCACGCCACCATGCTACGAGCAACCAACTGCAACTGCGAGGATAACCAGCCTCCAACGATCAGCTCCATCCAAAACATGATGCTCTTGTTGCACTTCCCTCATCCCCTTCTTGCAATGAATCCGAATCTTTCTTGGCCCGTTCTTGTTCTTTCTTTCTGACAGCTAGTGATAGCACCGAATCTTTCTGCAGGTAAAGACCCGGTTGTGGTGCCCCCACGAATGGACGTCTCGGCACCGCTCGAGGCGCCCGGTCCTTGTCCGGCTTGCTCCTGCATCAGCTTCATCATCTTCGCGCCCAGGCGTTGCGACGCGCCATAGCCTTCGTCCATGAGCCTGTCGCACGACCGGGGCCCGGAATCCGGGGCCTCTGGACTCTCTGTGGGCTTCAAAGCGCTTCACCACAAGAAACAGTTCGCGTGTCCACCCAAACCGAGCCCGGAGAACCTGCACAAAATTCCTTGTCTGACATGACGCAAGGGCTGGTGAGCAATCCAGCACCAGACCTCTCGCCCTCTCGCCCTCTCGCCCTCTCGCCCTCTCGCCCTCTCGCCCTCTCGCCCTCTCGCCCTCTCGCCCTCTCGCCCTCTCGCCCTCTCGCCCTCTCGCCCTCTCGCCCTCTCGCCCTCTCGCCCTCTCGCCCTCTCGCCCTCTCGCCCTCTCGCCCTCTCGCCCTCTCGCCCTCTCGCCCTCTCGCCCTCTCGCCCTCTCGCCCTCTCGCCCTCTCGCCCTCTCGCCCTCTCGCCCTCTCGCCCTCTCGCCCACTGCGCGCCTGCCGATGAAGGGGAGTTTCCAGTAGGGGAAGGGAAAGAAGGTCCTCTTGTTCAGCGCAGAGAAGATGCTCCTCGGCTCCAGAAACTTGCGACTGCCCCAGCGTCCAAAAAGCAGTCGCTTCCCAGCGCCTGCCACTTTCAAGTCATGCCATGTGGACACATTAGGATATCTCAGCGCCTCGGATGCTTTGCTTTTCGAACTCCACCTGGGTTGAGTTTGAACCTGGATGCTTTTTTGCCCAACCAGGTTCGCGTTTTTTTGGTCAACCAAAAAAAGTTGGAAAGGGCGCCCAAAAAAAAACCGCTGCATTCCCACCTTGATACAGCTTATGGGAGAAACTCAAATTTCCCGAAAAGATGGGACGAATTGGGTGCATCGGCATGTCCTCCCCAAACCAACATACCAATAATCTTGCCAGCTCCTCAGTCTTTTTCAGGGGACCCCCAACAATGTCACAACGGTTTCCCGTTAAGAACCGCCCAAAACGCTCTTTCCCGGCTGAGTTCCCTTTCAGAGCCACCCGAAAAAGAGGATCTGTACCCTCAAAAAAAACAGACGTTCCCTATGAAAACCACCCAAGAAGCGTGATCTGTACCCTTCAAAAAAAAAACGACCAGACCCGGATCGACGGAGCCCGAGGCGCTTCACGTCTTCCACCAACCCCCGGGTGCGGTTCTTCAGCATGCCGAGGTCCGACCCGAAGGCGGCCCGGCACAGCACGTCCGCCGTATACAGCGGCAGCAGCTCCTCGGATTTTGGGGGCAGGAGCGGTCCGAGGAAGGAAAAACGAAAAACATGGGTGCAATTTGAGCATCAGTCACTGCTCAAGTGGAAAAATCGAAACCTGAGAAGCTTCTCAAACCTGAAACGTCCCAAAGTCTAAGTTTCCCAACAATGCTTTGAGTTCCTCCTGGGTTGCTTCCGCCCCAATGGCTGACACGACCTGAGCAGAAAGTTGATGCTGCACCAAGCTACCCAGTTTCACATCGCTAGCAGTGACTGAGGCTCAATTTACGCTCAGTGTGAAAAGGCTGAGGGAGGGAGGGAGGGAGGGAGGGAGGAGGGAGGGAGGGAGGGAGGGAGGGAGGGAGGGAGGGAGGGAGGGAGGGAGGGAGGGAGGGAGGGAGGGAGGGAGGGAGGGAGGGAGGAGGGGGAGGGAGGGAGGGAGGGAGGGAGGGAGGGAGGGAGGGTACGGAGGGTACGGAGAGGCAGGGGAGGGAGTGGGAGAGAGAGAGAGAGAGAGAGAGAACGAAAGAACGAGGGAACGAGGGAACGAGAGAAAAAGAGAAAAAGAGGGCCCCGTCGCAGAAACAACCGTCGCCGAGGCGCAGTAAAGTTCACCTGCCCGGAGTTCCTAGCGTCTGCTGCCAGCTGGTCCAACAGAGTCTGCGTCAGCTCTGTGACGCTCGGCACGTAGCCGAGCTGGGCGCGGCTCGGGGAGGGGCAATCCCAAGGAAACTCTCTGAGCCGTTGAAACACCCAATCAATCAGCAGGACAAGCACTGATGATGCAAAGCAATGCAAGGCAGTTGCGGGGAGTGGATGCGTATGAATTGGTGACTCCAACTATCCATCGCAAAAGATTTAACAGGAGTGTCTAGCGGAGGGGCAACCGGCAGCGCAGCAATGAGCAACGCCTGCGTTGCGCCGGCAAGCCGCCGGATTCTTGCTTGTTCCTGCCACGCCCATTTTTACATACCTCGATAAGGAAGCACCCCGGTTTTGCGGGTTTCTTTGGACCAAGGATACCTTCGCGGCACCCCGCCGAATCCCGCACACAGGGAGACAGCAGCCGCAAGGCCCGAGGCGCCAAACTCTTGGCGTTGAAGGCGGGCGACAGCAGCCGCCGCTCGCGCTTCCACAGGTCACCCTCCGAGAAGAAGACACCTGGCGCGTATGGCCCCAAAAAACGCGAGGCCCCGAAATGGGTTGCCCTGGGAAGTGGAAAAATGGGGGAAAAACCTGCGTAACGCCTAGTAGCTCTTTAACTTTGAGCCACTGCCTGACGCGAGGCCCAGCGGCCAGCGCGAGGGTGTCAGGCACGATGCCAGCGCGAGGGTTCTGAGAACTTGCTCGATTCAACCAGCGTCAAGCAAGCACCAAAGGGCGGTTTTTAGACACAACTTGGACAGCTCCTTTCTCAAAGCTGCTCACCCCTTGCGATGTCGCTTGCCTGGGGATACGAAACAACGGGGTACGCCAATGCGCCATCGAGCTCAAGCCCAGCGACATGTGGCTTGCGGGGTCCTTGAAGGAGACAGGGAATTGAACGCAGTCCCCAGAGCTGAGCTTGGAGCGTTTGTTGAGGTCCTTGTGACGGTTGCTGTAAGGTGGCAACTGATGCTCAGTTTGTCGCCGGTGGTTGGAACAAGCTGTCGAAGAAAACGCTTGGGAAGGCGGCCCAGGAATGGGAATGCTTTCTTGCCCAAACGCTTGGAGAAGATGAGCGGGCTTGGTGGGCAAATTCTTTTGCAGGCAAGCTTACTGATGAAACGGTGGCTAGCGTTGAACCCACGCAAATGGCTGCCGCCAACGGGTGGATTTGTGGTAGAGCTTGGAGGTTGAACGCTTGGTTGATGCTGGGGTGCAGTTTTGGCTTGAGCATAAATGGCCAAGGAAAAGGCTGGAAACGCCCCAGCCAGGCCAACAAAGCAGGCGCTTTACAAGCAGGCCCTTGCAGAAAGCCAAACTGGGCATGAGTGGGTTCAGGCAAAAAACCTTGACCTGCTTGCAGCGCGGAGACACAAAAACGCCCGGCAACACATTCACTCCGGCCTTCCACCATGTCGTAGGCGCCGTGCTGCAGCGAGGGCGGCTTGGTGGCCTTGAAGGGCCGCAGGTCCACCACTTTGGACATCATCTGCCAGGAGCACACCGCCACCACGCGCGTGCCGGCCTTGCTGATTCAGTCAGGCCCGGGAAACCGGCGCTCCGAAAGCGTAACAAGTGAGCGAAGCGCGAGCTTCTGTGCGCCAGAGACTCTCTGCGCAAGGACTCTTGGCTCAAATTCCGCGGCGCAGACTTGTCTTTGCAAAGTCCTCGGCGCAAGTTTCTCCACGCAAACTGTCTGTGCGAGTTTCTCTGCGCAAGTTATCGACGCAAGTTCTGTGGGCGTGCTCTCGGTGCATGTTTCTCTGCGCAAGTGCTCTGTGCAAGCTTCTCAGCACAAGCTCGCGGTGAAACTAATTATCTCTCTGCGAGTTGTTCTGCACAAGTTTTCTGCGCACGTCGTTCTCAATGCAATGGGTCGTTCTCAACGCAAGCAGCGCCACGAGTTGCAAAACACTCCCCGCAACAAATCCAAAAGCCCTCAGTTTTTGCGCATCGACCACGCTAGTCCCCGCAGGGGGTCGCGCGGGGACGAAAAGTAGAAACAGTCCTCAGAGATCACGCTAATCCCCGCAAAGGGTCGCGCTCGCACAACAAAAAGTGAAAAGCATAGAAAAGGTCAAAGTTCTGCACGCCGACCACGCCGATCCCCGAGGACGGCGGCATTTTCAAAAGGCGAGTTCGGTCCCACCACGTCGCCTTAAAAGAATCGTGCGAATTTGCTCGCCCAAGTGTGCTCGCGCAAGTGTGCTCCGGCAAGCGCGCTCGTGCAAGAGTACTCGCGTAAGTGCTCGCGTAAGTGTGCTCGCGTGAGTTTGCTCGCGCAAGTGCGGTCCTGCGGGCTTGCTCGTGCCTTCGATGCGGAACAACTTCCCAGCGACCTGCGCGGTCGCAATCAAAGTGGCAGTTTTTGCGAGTTTGCTCCTAGGCAAGTATCATGGCGTGTCCATTTCCTATGCAAGCAACAACGAAAACTCGCCTCAGAAACCGGCCCCTGCGACCCTGACACTTTGGCTTGCCAAGTGGCAAGGACCATCTCGAAGACGCCCTCCTCGCCATAATCTCTGGCCCACTCGTCAACCTTCTCCGAGAAATAGATGGCTCCTTGAACAGAAGGCGTGGACACTCGCTGGAGAAGGGGGAAAAAACAGGCGTGGATTCCGCACTGCGCCAAATGCGCCACGTGCGCGCTCCTGGCCCCAGCTGCGGCAGGGCGCCCAGGAAAAAGACCCCAGGCACTGTGCCTTGGCGCCGCTCGCATGGACGTGACCAAATGCGGCTGGATGCTTCCCTCTCCGCACTTCTCCCTCCCTCCCTCCCTCCCTCCCTCCCTCCCTCCCTCCCTCGCGTTCGATGCAGAGTGCGAAAGTGGTCCACCTTGGGCTTCAGCAGCCACCTGACGCGAATTCGGGCGGCTTCAAAAGCCAGCCGGCTGACACGAGTCCAATTCAAACGTGTCTGAAGGTCCAAAATCAGAGATAAAGTGGTCATAAAGACCGACATGTTGATAACAAACATGACCAATCTGGTGAGGAACCCCCATTTCCTCTTTTTGGCAAGTGTGCCCTCGTAGCACCCCGCCGTGCGATGATGGTGAATACTTCAGGACGTACACCCACATGGGGGGCGTCTTTGTTTGAGGGTACCCATGCGAGGAATCCCTCAGGCTTCAAAACCAGTGATTTTGGAAGGCCGAAGCCAAAATTCCATCAGGAGTTTTGGGGTGGGACATGTCGAGTGTCCCTCCCAATTTGTTTCGCCTCAGCGCCAGCAGCGAGGACACTGCCACACCGGCAGCTGCCAGCAGTTTGGACCGCTCCTCCAGAGCTAAAGCCATGGCCGACACCGGGACACCGGTGGGTTGAGCCAAATAAGCTGGAGTCTTCAAAATGTCCGAGATCGAAATCAGCTCCATCTGGAAGCCCGTGCAAAAGGACCACGGATCTTAGAGCGAGGAGACTTTCAAGCGTCCCGTCCCCCGTCCCGCGCGCCGCGCGCCGCATGCGTCCGATTTTGCCGTGCAACAGCACATGCGTGGAACCAGTGGGTGCGGAGACGGCACGACTCACTCCATGCCAGCAGCATCCCGTGCGATCTTGTTCTCCTTGATGGCCTCCTGGAGAAGTGCGACTTGAGGCTCGCGCAACCAATAAATCCATTCTTGCCCGGTTTTGTGGGTACCCCAAAACAACCACCCTCTAACGCCAAGGGGAAAACGGCTGGTGACCAAGGGGAAGCTGCCGTCCGAAAGGTCCACTGCCTCCTCCGCATCGAAAGGGGCGTCCCACTTCAGGTCATGCAGCTCCTCGACGCGACAAACATCCGACCTGGTGCTACAAAAGATCCGGTTTATGTGGTGCTTTCCTTTGAGGGAATCCAAAACCGGTTCATCCGTTTTATCTTGGTGCTTTGAGAGAATCCAACCAATCCAACCAAAACCGGTTCACTCCCAACACCCCACAAGGTCATTCATTCCAAGGCTTGAATCCCCGGAGTGAGAAACCATGGGCATCAAGTCCTGCCCGAAGTGGAAGGATCTTGCTCTTGCAAGGCTCCGCCAAATTTGCTCTTTGGTTTGTGCTAGAATGGTGCGGCGCATCTCATCCCATCCAACCTTTGCAGCCAGCCGTTGAAACCTTGTTACTCCCCAAATCCCCGAATCCAATGAGGAGTGCGCCACAATCCCCCTTCAAAGTGGGGGCAAACGAACCTCGCCCAGCGCTAAACGAAACAAATGTTGCATTTCATGCGAGGGCGAAGTGGGTGCAAGGGATTTTAGCTCGCTCGAGCTGTGCGGTTCAAAAGGCATTCCGCTGTGAGGCCGTGTTTCACTTTTCATGAACCTCCTAAACCAACCAAAAGGCCTCGTTCAACAAAAGGAAATCTCAAATTCTTGGGCCCCCAAAATGAATTGGTTTCTTTTGCTTGCCCAACCAACAAAGAGGGTTCCCTTCTCCCTTCCCCCCCGTCAGGTCAAGAACATCTTGCTTTTTCTTTGGTTCTCCCAATTTGACCTTCAAAACGGGGGGAGAAGGGCGTCCCTCAAATAAACACGACGACGAGCCACCCACCTCGCGACCAACGACTTGGCAACGGCGCCTCCAGCTTCTCCATGAGCACCGCCCGCCGGGAACTGAGCTGCACCAGCTCCCGCAGATCCCGCGCCTCCAGCCACCGCGCCAGGTCCTCCGCGTCCGAGCCGAATGCCGAGGCGTTGGGGGAAAAACCGGGTGGGTCCTGGCCCTCAACCCCGTTTCAGTGGACATGGCAAAAAGTTGAAAGGATCTTCAAAAAGACGAACCCCAAACCAGGGGCGCCACTTCTCGGTGCCCCGGCACAACTGGACCAGAAGACGGGGCCCCGACCAGCGCCGGCTCGTCGCGGCGCTGGAGCCAGCCGTGGTCCTGGTAGCTCGCCTGACGAGCGGCCCGGGCTGAGGCAAACAGCCCTGTGGAGGAAAACTGAGTGGGTGGGTGGGTGGGTGGGTGGGTGGGTGGGTGGGTGGGTGGGTGGGTGGGTGGGTGGGTGGGTGCGTGGGTGGGTGGGTGGGTGGGTGGTACTGGTGGTGCTTGTGGTGGTGGTGGTGCTGCTGCTGCTGGTGGTGGTGGTGGTGGGACAACTCCGAGACGGAACCCGCGCCCTTGCAAGTGCCGAAGGATGCGGGCGGTCGCGCGAGCCGCCTGCGTCTTCTGCAGCAGCTCCGCGAGCGGAGGCCTCGGCCGTGCGACACAGATTCGATTCGCATGCCCGAGCAAAAACCCTAAAAAAAACATATGGTGGGTGTTTTTCAGAATTAGGGAATTCCGACAGGTAGGTGGTTTCCATTTGGCTTCAATTTAAGAACCATCTTGAGACATATTTAGATGATCAGAAATGCAAGTGCAGATGCTCCTGATATTTGGAGATCTGAGCATGTTTCGGAGCAATGTTTCGGCGTAAAGAGGAGCATTCAAGTGAGGATTGGAGGTGGAAAAGTAAGGAGTGCCATCCAGCCTGCTCATGGCACAGACCTCGCCACTTGGCAAACTCCCTCCCACGCCGAGCCGCACATCTTCCTGCGACTTGGGAAGATGCTGCCTGGGCAAGCTGTTGGCACGCAGGTTTCAAGCTTAGAGATCTCACGAGCACACACGGTACACCACTTACCCCCCACTCCAAATACTTGTTTTAAGGGTATCATGTCAACCCTTTACTTAACAGGAGGTACTTACCATGGAAAACCAGGTTTCCTGCAAATACCTAAAAAAAGGCCGGGTCTTTGGAGTAGGGGCGGCTTAGCCATGTCTGAATTCCACAGCGGACCCTCTGTTGGCATGCACGCCAATTCTGGGGTCGGACTGGAGGATCCACGTTGCCAAAAGCATGCCAATTCCAGGCCGGTTTTGGTTGGGTCGTGAAGACCAAAGCAAACCCCGGGCAAAATCTTGGATCGTTCAGGGCCCACCGGCGATTGACTAGGAAAAGGTGGCTTCAGTTGCGCGGGGAGTCCGTTCAATGGTGGATCTGCTCCCTGCCGAAAACCCACAAAGAGCCGAGACTGATCAAGCCAAACGAGCAAGCTGAAGCTCATGTAGATGTTGCCAATCACATGATTTGCCCGATTCTTGCGTGTGGACTTGTCAATCTTGTGTGGCATGCGCCGGATGTGTATCTTGCTGCAACTTCTTGGGAAGCTCGTGGATGTCAATCTGGCAGGTTTTGGGGCGGACCTTGGCCAGCGCCGCCCTGCGGTCTCCTTCGAACCGAGCGGCACCGCCGCCAAGAGCTCCGGCACCGCCTTCCGAAGCTCCTCACGTCATGCTGCCGCCTGGGGTGGGAGAGGTCCAAAAGTTTGGTCCATCCGGATGTGACCAACATCAGTCTGTGTTTTTGAGCGTGTGTGTGTGTGTGTGAGAATTATAAAGGCGAGCCATGAAAGCTTCTGTTTGGCGGAGAATACTTTTTTTCTGCAAGTGTGTATTTGGTCTTGAAAGCCCTCTAATCGCCAGATGTATTCGTTTTGGAAATTTGAGGCAGGAAGTGTCCACCAGGCAAAAGTTGGCCAAAGCTTGGCTCTTCCTACGTCTCTTCTCACCAGTCGTTTCTTCCATGTGTATCTTCATCATTCTCTTGTTAAAATATCCACATTCATCCACATGTCGATGTTGACAACAATAGTTTCAGGCAAGAAAGCAACCCATCCCTGGACCCCCCCCCCCAAAACCCCGCGGGCTTTTCGGCTCCTCCGAGTCCGGCTCTGCCGGACTCTTCGGCGGCAGCACCACCGGCATCAAAGGAGAGGACAAAAGCGGGCGCTCCGGCCGCTTTTCGCCTGACGAGGTCGGGGCAACTTCGGCAAAGCCGCTTGAAATTGGGCTCACCAACTCCTGGTGAGAAGCGCCTTCTTCAAGAGAACTCTACCTTGTTCCATTGCCTCAAAAAGGCCACCTGTGCCTTCCTGCCTTTGCCTTTTCCACCTCGATTCCGCTGGTTTCTGCCCGTCCCTTCGGTGGCGTTCCCTGAGGCGGGCGCCTTTTCGCAGCCATGCCACCAGAGAGAGGAGCCCGGAGCCGGCCACCAGCCTTGGAAAGAAAAAACAAAACAAAAACAAAAAACGCCGGGGGAAATCCAGTTGCGGCCCTCCGTTTTTTCGATTGGGTTTTTCACAAAAAAGCCATTGGGTTGTGATTTTGCTTAAACACTATGCATTGTTTGTATGTGTTTACTTGTTATATTCTTATTTCACTTATTGTTGTGTGTTTGTTTTTTATGTGTTTTTTGTTGTTTATGTTGTTTCATATCTTTTCTTTGGTAAAAAAAAAAACGTCTACACAACCAAACAGCAATCACAAACCCTAGCCCACATTTGCAATGGGGGAAGCCTCACAGGGTTCCACCGAAATAGTTCGCAACACCAAATGGCGGGCAACTCTTCCAAGAGTCGTGCTGTTTCAACACGCCAAACAGGGATCCTTACATTGTACACCTGAACATTGCCTTGTAAATGGCTGTGTCCCTTTGTTTTGGTGGAAAAAGCCAAACCGCATTTAAAACTAGACCACGGTTGGCCCGAAAGCCGAACATCGCAAGCGAGGTCGGCCCAACGCTGCAGGATGCGTTCTTTTTCCCTACACTTCGTGAAGCAAGCGCGAGACAGCACCAGGCAAGACTTCGTGAAGCAAGCGCGAGACAGCACCAGGCAAGGTGCTCTGCGCAAACTGGTCGGTGCAAGTTGGTCTGCGCAAGTTGCTCTACGCAAGTTGCACTGTGCAAGTTGCTCGGCGCAAGTTGCTCCGCGCAAGTTGCTC